CTCTCGGACAAGCACTGAGCATACTGTGCTTATTAATATACGTTGGGTAAGGGCAAACCCGTTATATATAATTAGCATCTCCCCAACGCAAAAATACATCTTGAAAATACCTACATGTAGATGTAGTAAAATGAATCTGTGCCAGTTGTCCTATGTCAGTTTGTTGGAAGTACCGTAACCATGGCCGTTTTCCAATACCCATCTCCGTCTCAGGCTCTGTCCCCCAAAGCAACCCCTGATTGTGGGCCTGGACCGTTTAAATTAAATTGGGGTTACTGTAATTTTTGGCTCTTTTTCACCTTATTTCATGTTTTGTGGCACTATTTGACTAATTATTGCACTTACAGCTTCAAAGTTAGGTATTTAACAAAACAGTTGAAGCCTGAGACAGAGCCGAAGTTGAGTATTGGAAAATGGCTGGTGGCTCTTTGGAACTCAATAAGCTAATCTGGTGACCATAGCAATGCTATCACTGGCTTTGCCCCTATTATACATGCACGAAGCCACGCTTTGTGACAGTCACTCCAAGGTCTAACACAATGTGCTTTCTACTATGGACGAGGGGCCATCAGGAATGTCCAGTGACAACACTGCTGCTGTGAGAATTCGGTTTTTTAGCTGATTTCAGCTTTTTTTTGTTGAGATGTTGTCCCTGAATTTTAGCTTTTTTGTACACCTGGTCTGAACAATTTTTTTACATTTCAGCTTTTTGCCAGCTATTTCAGCTGTGATTTTAACTGGCCACTAACACACCCCTGTTACCAGGTGTGCATGTGTGCAATTAACTGCTCCCAGGCTAACCTGAGGAAATTTTACCGTGGAGATGTCAGGGAACCGTTCGATTGAAGTACTGTACATGTGTACATGGCCAAACATTGCCCTAGCTGCCCATGAAGAGATGGTTGCGCATGTAAATACTGTCTGATTGTAATTTCAGCTGAATATGTGTGAGGCCTAGTAAAATAAATACATGTATGGCACAGGTTATTTTGGTTGGGTAGTTGACGTGACCTCTCCTCAATATTGTCGACAATTGACAAACTAGTTCCTTCAAATTGAATTTCAGGCCCTTCATGGTGAAAGACAGCAGTAGGTGGAAAGGCTTGCGGTAGCACCATGTGAAGGAATATATCTCTTATGAGTATGTGTGGTTCTGAAAAGAACCGGGAGTATACTCAACATTAGTCCATCGTCAGGAGACTGAAGAGATGTTGATGATGAAGCTGAGTATACACTGTACTTCTGGTTCTTTTCAGAACCACACATACTCATAAGAGACATATTCCTTCACATGGTGCTACCGCAAGCCTTTGCACCTCTAGTTCCCTCAGCTTTGCAGCAGTAACTAATTTGTCAACTTCCACTACTTGGGGAACCCAACATTGGCTATCTACCATCAAACCATGTTATACTGATGCATTGGTGTGCTGTTATCAGTGTTAGCGTTATCGTTTTTCCAACAGGAGAATCTGCGAGCGCTGCAGGCGAGGAGCCACTACGTCGCTCAGCAGGAGCGCGAGGCTCTGGACAGGGAGCGAGAAGACCTGGAGGTGGCTGGAGAAAATGCCGAGGAGGTCATGTTGAGGAAGCAGAGGCTGCAGCAGTTTGAGCAGGAGAAACAGTAAGAGGAAAACCAGTTGTCAATGTCATGACACTTGGTGTAAACTTAACACTATATATAAGCCTTACGCCACATATTTATAGGTTAGCTGCACAATGTACGTAGGGTCAATTTCACAGAATGTTGCTTGGCCATGCAACCTTCTGATTATGTTAAACCCCTTGAATGAGAACAATCAAAATTAGGCAACAAAACAGTTGCCAAATTAATGCCGTGGCTGCCATTTTTGAAGATGGTTTCGTCTTCTCTTCATCAGAAAACTGGCAGCAAATCTCCCAGTTTTCTCACAGCCAAACCAGTGTTTTGTCACCTCCAGAAAAAAAATTGTAAATTACTTTTCTTTTTTCAAGATGTATTTTGTTTTTTGTAAATTACTTGTTAACCTTGATAATCAAACAATGACGAGCCCTGCAAAAGAGGGGGGGGCATTTACACATTTACAGAGTTTCCCAAACGTTTAAATGGAACTGTCACTTTTAGAGGTTTGATGTTTTGATTGATGCAGTTTGGTGCAAATTTTTATTGTAAACGATGCCTATAAAATGTGCTCCGATTTTCAGAATGCTTTGCTGCTGGGTCATTATCACAGGAATACCATGAAATCATCACCAGAACTTTGTATCAGCCATTTACATCTAATGCAATTTGTGTTTAAAGTTTTTAATGACACCGTGGTAAGGGTTTGAGGTTTATAAGTTTAAATGGTATGGGAAAGTTTTCTAAACGTTTTTCAAATCAAACCTAAATTCCCACCCTTACTTGCAATGCATATAATTTAAGTTTGTTAACTTGTCCATTTTCAATCCATTAGGCACTACTTGCGCCACCTAAAATGACTGAATGAGTTAAGCCACAATTAGTTATCCGAGTCAAGACTTACACAGTGCGTAACTTTTATGCAACGTGCCCTACATGTAACTTGTGCAACTTGCACCATGTGCAACGTTTGGCTTGAAGTTGGCTCCTGGTGTTATACATGTAGGTAACAAATTTACATGCTGCCTGGAGTAAAGTGTGTAACCACAGAAAAAAAGTGCTAGTATTACTAAGGCAAAACAAATTTCTTGCTCCATTGGACTCGTGGGGCTCTTTTGAGTTGTTTGACTCATGGTTACTCTGTGGTATGCTGACTACTCAGCATACAGAGTAACTACATGTACTACTAGATACAGAGCACAATCACAGCATGTATGAAATGATTTATGTATCTTGTTTTGATGTCACTACCACAAGATTTTTGCCTTGACAAGACTTGTCCTAACCCCTTCACGCCAGGATTCTTTTAACCTTGACTGCTGGGCTGTGGTATGCCCAGTATGCAAAGCTCTGTCCAGCAGCCAGCCCACATTGAAACCACAGGTGCATGATGAATAGAATGTATCTGCGGTATGCACTAATCCTCACACAAGGCCACAGCTGTGGAGGGCTCCCGTATGAAGGGGTTAAATTTCACAGTCTAAATTCTGCACAGACATTCGAAACACAAGCTCCTTTGTTGGCCTCTAAAATGAACCATTTATTTCCCCCTCAATTTGTTGCAACTTTGCTTGAAATGCTACTTGGCAGATGAATTTTGTTAGTTTTCGTATCAAAATATGTGTAAAAAAATTGTCCCTTTTGTGGTACAATTTCGGAAGCCCACTGTATCATTGTGTATTCTTTATGTGGAAGTTTTTGTTAGGCAGAGGGACATCCAAATATTTCTTTTGCCGCTTGATCCTGGATTGTCTTGGGGTAATTTAGCGTTTCTGTAAGATTTGAAGCTTTGCATGGTGGAAGTTACATGAGATGTAGGCTTGCGGGTATACTGTGGAATCAATCTCTTTTGGAAGAGGTGTGGTTTTTAGAAGAACCGGTGAAAATAACTCGACGTTTCAGCCAGGATGCTTCTCAGGAGAGGACAAAACGTTGAGTTAACACTCACCGGTTCTTCTAAGAGCCACACCTCTTCCACGAGATTGATTCCATGGTGTACTCGCAAGCTTGCATCTCACTTAACCATTCTGATTCTAGAAAATAAACTTCCAAGTGGACTCATGTACATGTACATGCATCTCTCAATGCAAAAAGTCTGCCCATTGGGTACCTGTGGGTACTGTATAACCAATAGGGTTTTACAGTACCCACGGGTGTATTATGTTCTAACCAGGCAATTTGACTTGCAGTAATGAAGCTAGGGTTCTCATTGTAGCGACTGTGAGCAAGGGAGGTGGATGTTATGTCCCTTATTTTCTGACAAGTGTAATGGTGCTATTATTTTCTTTGTTTATCAAATTTTCAGTGGGGAGAGGGGCGACGATTTTTCATGGGGGGTTGTGTCCCCTCCCCCCATACGCTGCTGTTGACCAGACAAGCTTTGTGGTTGAGATTATAATTATGACATCAGCATAATGTAGAAGGTCACGGGTCAGATCTCCCAGCAGAGCCTGAGAATTATCTCACAGTCCCTCAAACAGCACTGAGCACACTGTACCCACTACTGTAGATTACTTTTGTGAAAGTGGAAACATTTCAAATGTATATTTACACCTCTTCACATCAGAATTTTGTCTTTCCGTTCAACAGGCAACACGAAGCCAATCAGAAGGAACGCCAGGCAGAGCTGCTGTCTCACCTCCTGAGGGAGGAGCGACAGATGAAGAAACGGCAAGCCATGTATCCGCAACTCTGGCCTGACGCCAAGCGGGACCGAGCCAAACGCGTCACGCGGCCCAAGCGCAAAGCGCGCATCATCCGGGAGTACAGCGGCTCTTCCTCCATGGAGTACAGTGCCGATGTCGAAGAAGCTGCTGTACCGGTGAGTGACAAAATGAAATGGTGGCTGGGTTGAGCCGAATAAAGGGGGGAAAGCGACATAAAATGAGGATCTCTGACCCGCGGTCCCAGACTCGAGCTCGGATTAAGCTGCTTGTCATATGTTGTGTACATGGGCAAGCCACGTTACTGCAATTTGCCTATTTCTGGCCAGGAGTATACCTACATTGTACATGTAAATGAATTTTGGCATTACCGGTAGCTGAGAAGTAAACCTGCAGTGGAATATCATCCCACCGTGGGGGGGGGAACAGAAATGTTCTCTGTTGTTGATTGCCAAGCCAACCAGAGAAGACTTGCCTGACTAGCAGCAATTATTAGCTTGGGGTAAAGCAGATAAAGGGTAATTAATTGTACAGCTTTAGTATTACTATGTAATAGGTATTAATTATCTGAGAACAAAAACAATACATTTTAGGGATTAGTTTTAAAAATAAGAATTACGTACTGTAACACAAGAGGCTCATATTTCAAAACTTGAGTCCTGTTTATGATGTCTAGGAAGCATGAACTGAAAATGAAATTAGGCTTGTTACCTTTTGTTTGAACATTTAAATATGTAAAATGCCACATCACTTATGTTGTCGACTTTCAATTTGATTTTGATAGCTGTTCTGTTCCAGACTCTCTTTTGAATACAAACTCTGAAGCAGGAGGTTTCCACCAAGAGTTCGATTGTTAAACAACCAGTTTGATTGTCCTTCTTTCTACCCTGACCCAGAAACCCAGTTCGGCCAAGTTAGCAGGGGCAGACATATCCTCGGACGATGACGGTTTCAGCCCCTACGGTGCCACCAGCCGAGATGAGCGCGGGGGCAGCGACAGTGAGGATCGCAAGGACGAACTGGCCAAGCCGGAGTTTGAGGGACTGTGGAACCAGCAGCACAAGACTTACAAGGTACCAATACTATTGGGGAATTGGGTCCTTATTACTCGGAGAGTGGCCACAGAAAATTTTAGAAGCTTTCTCAGCTGTGACTTGAATCTGTGACCTCCTGTGAACTAGTGGATTCATCCTATTAACCACTGAACTCTTGAGATTGGTCAGCAGAGCGACGGTCTGGGGTCAAACCAGATTTTGGGGTCACAGGTGACGGGTGCAAAGAGTGACAAGTGACTGTCTTTACCGAAGTTGGTTTGAACGGCCAAACAATTTGGGATTGACTGGCAACGATTTGACTTCATTTATACCGCTTTGCTCTGCATGAATAGCAAAAGGAGTTGGAATCTGTCAGAGGTGCTTTTGAGTCTAAGGTCTGAAAGAATCATGCACGGTGTGAATTAAAGTAACCCCTCAAGCTGTGTGGGCTCCTCGCTACATTTTTCTTTAGATGTGTGAGCTGCAGTGCCTGGGGAGCATTTGAGGAATCCTTGGATTCGTTACCAGAAATGTTTAATAATAATGATGATAATAATAATAATGATATCCATTTCAAATGGAAAACAAACTGAATGATACCTCAAAACAAAGAGATCAGTCTGCTCTTTCCAATGGCAATTCTTTTTGTGGAACCGTTCACATCTGTCCCGTCTCCCCTAGGTTCCCAAAGAGGAGGATGCAGGCTACAGCCTCAAGTACACCAGCAAGATGGAGAGAGACATGATGGCAGCAGCATTGGACAAGCACCGGGCGGGCATCGTCCGCAAACAGGTGGCGGCCGGCAAGGAGTTTAAGGGTTGTCCGTTCTACAGCAAACCCGACGTCATCCACTTCAAGGTATGGCAACAGCCTTTTTGGTCGCACCATTATGTCCAACAAGTTTGCCACAGGATGCGGCCTTTTATTAGCTCATAATAGGTTTGTAATCATTAATAGTCTTTTTCCCAGTCTGAAAATGGCATTGGAAAAACATGTGCTGCAGTGAACATTAAACACCTGTTGAATACCAGACCCTATTTTGGACTGGCAATGTGGCCACTTGTGCACCCAAGGGACCGTGAGTGACCTGAAGAGGGTCATTTTTCCTGAGGCCGAAGGCAGACCAGGTGATGAACCCATCTGCGGATGTCGTCGTCATCTCAACATCAGACACAAGACAGGTCACTAGACCAGCCACAAGGCCAGTCACAAATACTGTAACAAGGGGGAATCATGGAACAGGAATGCTTTTGTTGCAGTTCATTCGATTAGCGTGTGACTTGCCTTCAGACTACAGATCTCATGTTGATCTTGTGTTGGCCTAATGATGGTCTTAAGAGGTCTCGCCTGCAATACTGACTCCAGCTTTGGCACACACAGCAGTGCTGGCTTCTAAGGCTACCATTTCTTTGGGGCTCGCCTGTTGTCTGATACTGAAATATTCTTGTATTTTCCCTCTTTCAGGATTTTGATGTCGGCAAGTCCTACAAGAAGAAAGTGATCCTCACCAACGTGTCCTATAGCGTCAACTTCATCAAGCTGGTAGATCTATCCGATCATCTCAAGGATTTCATAGACCTACAGTAAGTCCCAAAAAAGGAGCTTGTCAGCCAAAGTCTGCCGCAACTCGATTCCAAGAGAGTTGAGTTTTAGGGCTGTGCCAAATATCCGAATATTCGATTGATTGTCGAATATTCAGATATTATTTTTTTAATTTGAATATTTGAATACAAAACTCATGAAAAGGAAGGGAAAATTTTCTTTCGTTTTAAGTGAGAAAAATTGCACTGTGGAGGCTTATTTCAAGCAGATTCAAATGAAAAGCGTCAGAAACCTAAAAAGTAAATTATTCATGAAATAATTTAAAGGGAATAGACATTTTCAACAGTGCAAAAAGTCTCGTTTATCTCTTAAATCTTGCTAAATCGTGGCTGGAGATACTCCTAGATGTGAGAAGCTATTATATTGATTATACTGTACAATTGTGTGCGCTATTGCAACAGATTTTGTATATAGTTTGTTCATCAACAATCTGCCGGTCGGTACGACCAAACATTCAGAGTTTCAATCAAATTGAAGGTCAAATATTCGAATAGTGAATTATTGGAATTTACTCAGCCCTATTGAGTTTACTGGAACATGTAATTGTTCCTTAGTGTGATGTTTGCGCTAGAAGCTGTGATAGAGTTTAAGTGCAGTCGCCCAACAATGCCCACCAAAACAGATCGTGATTGGGTCCATCTGTGCACCAACTGTGACACCTGTGATCAGTTAGCTGTCTTGAAGTTAAATTTGTGTTTGGCCGATCACAGTTTTCATTGAAAGTGGTTAACTGTGACACAGACTTCTGGGTTATCTTACGTGTAAGTCATATAACTTGCTGAAAACATCTCTGTATAAGAGGCATTATTCATAATATTTCTAGTTTTATTTCAGATTAAACTTTTGCTCTTTAAGTAATTTTAACCTCTAATGATAGCCTTTCCCCCGTTAGCTTCTCTGGCCAGTTGGCACCATGACTTTCTTGCTGTGACTCAATCAAAGCTTTACCCCATGTGCAATGTTCTGTGGTACGTAGGTTTGATCCTCCTGGTCAGATGTCAGCCGGCATGAGCTGCGAGATGTTGGTCACATTCAAACCAATGGTGAGTGGCCCGGTACAGATCAAAGTTGCACCCAATCCTCTTTTTAGGGAGATTCCCCCAAAATTATCCTCTTTAGATGTTATTGTGACAGCATGACCGTCACTCTGTTTGTATGTCCAGAAGACATTTGGGCCATTTGGTCAGACCCCAGTTTCGTTAGGGGCCGTCCATAATTTTTGTCATTTTCACGAGCTTGCAAAAAGTAGACTTTGCTACCCCCAACTCTACACCAGCGGGCAAAAAATGATGGATGGAGTGCTTCATTGGCCAAATCCCTTATTGCCGAGGCACAATGATATACATGTAAGTGTTGTGGTTAACAGAAATGTAAATTTCATATCAAACATTGTTTAAAACGACACCTGAAAAGTCAAGTCTTGAAAAGCAGTGAATACTGATACTAGTAGAGCATAGAACAGGACTTAAAATAGTGGCGTAAAGGAAGCGGCGCGGGCTAGCAACACCCGCCAAATTTGAATGTGATTTGCATGTTGATGGATCGTCATTTTTCATATTCAGAAAAAGCATGTATATGCAGGGTTTTAATACCCTCCCCTGTACGACTTGTATGCTCGTGAAAATGATGGAAATTATGGATGGCCCCTTAATGTATTAGACGAACCATTTTTTTGCAGTAGGCAAATTATTGAATGGATGACGACACAGAGTGCAACCCTTTTCACTGAGAGTGCGTAGAAAGTTTGGTTTCAGAGTCTTGCTTTGAAAGTACACAAAACACTTCCTGCCGTTTGACTTAAATTTACATAGGAATCAATTTTTACCGAAACGTTTCAGGCATCGTTGATGCTTGAGTGCTGGCTTTGGTTCCCCTCACGAAAAAGCAGTTTTTACTGGAACGTGATGGGGTCTTCTCTCCAGCTTTCTCTGTAAATTGTGCTGAAAACATTTCTGAGAAATGGATTGGTGTTTGCTTATTGCCATGCATATAAACAACAATGGATCAATAAAGAAGAGAAATTTAGTTTGGTAAAATCTACAAAACTGCAGGACGTTTTTGGTTGCAAACTAACGTAACAACGTAGCTTTCCTCCTGGGATGACATGACAGTCTTCTCATGAATATGGAAATACTCATCAGCATAAACCCTAAAAGGCAGTAAAATACCCTTTACAGCGCTGCTTTGGAACTTCTCAAATCGAGCTCTTCTTTCCATGTTTTAGATCAACGAGGATTTGGAGGGTGAGGTGCAGTTTTTGACACAAACCGGTCCATTCTGTGTACCCGTCAATTGCTCCACAAAGAAATGTGATGTAAGTACCCTGAAATTGATCTGTAGAACAAAAAATCTCTGCTTCAAACACCTCAAAGCTTTTTGATATAAAGTAGGTCATATAGTTAATATAATAAAAAGTGAATGTTTATGTCAGTATTTCACGTCCAGCATGTTGCTCAATAAAGTTGTATACACCACCAAAGTTGAAGATGAAAAATACAGAAAAAAATAAGCTTCAGTTTCAGAAATTGATACAGATGACAAACCAGACTTTAGATTAAAAAAAAAATGATAAATGAAGTTCACTCGATATGTTATGAACAACCTGTAGCAATGTGCCCTCGCTATCCCTAGTACAAAATCTTGATATGTCTCGTTTTTGATCCAGTTGCTTAAAGAGGTCCTCAGAAGTATGGTGGACCGTATTTTCACTGAAATATCATTGAAAACATGTTTCCCCCACTTTTTCGTTGCCAACAGTTATCTGTGGACACAGACGGCATAGATTTTGGGACTCAAGTCATCGGAGAAACGCTGAAGAAAACCATTACCCTGACCAACAAGGGGGCGAAGGGGACACAGTTTGAATTCATCAAGATCACTGGTAAAGCTGCAAAAAAGAAGTGCAGATTTTTTTCCCGTTCCTTCAGAATACAGACCTCTGAGAGTAATGCAAATTGGCACGGTAGTTTTTTTCCCTTGCCTCACACCTTTGCAGTGCTGGTTCAGTTCCCGGCTCGGCCCTCATGGGGGTTAGGTTTTCAGTCCCTACCTGATTCCGTGGGTTTCATCCAGAATAAAATGTAATTCTCTCCACTCCTACTGTAACCATTCTTACTGTCTCCTCATTGGCTTACACATGTCAGTATCTTGGCACTTGAGAAACCCTTGGTTTCATTACCAGAATTACAAGTATAAAAATGACCTCACTGTGAAACTTTTACTTTGAGACTTTCACTGCGAATCCCTCAGATGCTATCTTGTGCTCCAAATGGACAGGCATCAGTAGGCTTTCCCAATTACACCCACACACCCGAAGCTCAGAACGACAGTGATAATGAAGTCCAGAGTCACTCTCTTGGGAAGTGTTATCCCTAGTCTGTGCAGCGCAATGGGACTGAGTTTTCAGAGACAGATGCTGCATTTTTTGGAGTACTGTAGATGTTAAACATTCCAGTTGGTTTTTTATCATAGGTATTTTTTTTGGGATACAATGTGGTATTTTGTCTCATTGCTGGTAGATGTTACTTTTATGTCCTTCTTGGCTCTGATTTTAGTTTGCAAGAGCTGTTTGTTCTACACATTAACACTTGTGTGACTGAAACCATGAACACCTCTGTTTGTGGATAGCTTATTGAAAACTTAAGCAAGCAATTTTTGTAAGCATGAGCCTGCTTGTACTTTATTAGCACAGAAAAGCTTATCATGTTTGTGGCCGTTGTGATTTGAGAATAAAACACTGTGCATTAAAGTCAAATTAAATTTCCTTTTTTGCAAAGAATGGTCCACACAATTGTCCAAATGGCAATCATTTCCAAATCAGGTACAGTGTATAAAATCATTTTTAAAATGAAAAATTGTTGTCCTTTTTTCTTAGGAATGAAGCAAAATACAGTAACATCAGCCGGTACATCCCTGGGTCGCCTGGTGAGTTGGAGCATTCATCTCTTTCCATGGCTGTTCAGATTGTTAGCCTAGATGTGCTCATCCAAATATTTCTGCAAAAGGGAGGCTCACTGGCTCATTGCCATGTGCTCACTCAATGATACATTACCAAAGAAAAAGGACATTTTAGTAGAGCAGTAACGCATCACACATTGCTGCAGGTTTTTTTCGTGCACAAATGAATACAACTTTGAGGGTTTCCACCCTGGAATAACAGTTATGACATCACAGTTTTGGTCATGAATATGGAAATTCCCTTTAGCATGAAAGCCAAATGACCTCCAAAAATACCCTTTAATCTGAGACAGTTGAAAATAAGGTTTAATTGAACCTCAAGGGTATTTTTTTTCAAAAGTTGAAGCAAAAACACTCATGTCATTCATCTTGATCAGACTACAGCGGATATCACCACTCGTCCAAATACATCCAAGGACCAGGACAACATCCCCACTGACGAGAAGGAGAAAGCGGACGAACCAGAGGCTAAGAACGAGGGAGACACTGCACCGGGTAAGACGCACCAGAGGATTCAGGGTCAGACCCTTATCTGTCCCTGAATCATTCTGATAAAGATGTCTGTGTTTCTTCTGGAGAGTTTGGTCAAGACCTCTTAAGGTCATTCTCCTGAGCCGTCAAGACAAAACAACACCCCCAGCCTGAAGTCAAGTCACAAGCTGTCATTTGAACTGCAGCAAAAGCATATTTTGTTATCATTTTCATCCTGTTACTTTTTGACTGGTCTTGTGACTGTCTTGACTATGACGTGGCTCTTCAGCTCTTTGCAGCACCACTTTGCAGACACCACTCACCCAGTCATAAACTTTTCAACGACATTTCCTATAACAGCGATGCACCTTGTATCCCAAGTCGGCTGTACATCCCATTTCTATCAACTTGCAGTGTGCATCATTTAATACAAACACGAAAACACACTTCCGTACATCTTTTTGTGCTGTTTGGAATGGCCCACTTTTCCATCTAAGATCACTCCATGTACTTGGTCCGTTGAAGAGTTAACGTGACAAGCTTTCCTCCTTGGCAAGTATAGTAATATTCTTCTGCAACCAACATGCATACACACCTTTCCCATGTACCTATTTTCAGCCTGTTTGTCTCACAGACAGTTAAAAGCAGGTATGGACAAAAGGACTGTTGAGTGTGAAGTTGCGCTTGAAAAGATATTTACCTTGTGAGGCCTAATTCAAGAAATTAATAAGCATTTTTCACAAAATGTACGGTAAACGGGAATTTTGGGTTCCAGATTTTTTTCAAAATGGTACCCCCCGAACATGTAGAACCACATTTGCTTAAAACAGATTTTGTTTCTATTAAAGATACAGAACTGGCGGCTGGAGAGGAGACTAGGGAACCGTTGTCTGCAAGGAGTAAGAAGTCAGGGGTGGTGACCATCACTGTAGATGACACTGAAGGTGAGCTGAAAATCAAATCACTACAGTGGAACGTCGCTATACTGAACATTAGGCTGTACCTAACATCGTCCTTGGCTCCCAATATTTTGTGCACAAAATCTACCGAACATTTATGCAGTTGCAAATCAAGCGAGATTCGCCACAGAGCAGCAGAGATCGATCCTGAGCGGTAGCGTCACTACTTTAAGAAAAACTAAATGTCAATTTTGTAACTCAAGATTTAATAGAAACCAAATATAATTAACATATACATTTCTAGAAACCTCGAACATGAATGCAGCGGAAAAACATCAACAAAACAGCGAATCATAGTATCACAAGAGGGTGCGCTGCAGTTAGACAAGAGAGAGGGCGCTATTCAACATGGCAACGAAACGTTCAGCAGTTAATTTCGCTAAACTGAACGACCGCTGTACCGAACATTTAGTGTGTACCCTGCCGTGTTCGTTATAGCATCGTTCCACTGTAGTTCCTGTTTTTCAGTGACCCTGTCTCAGAATTCAGGAGCTTGTTATCTTGTTTCAGTTTTCTTTATGTGTCTTCTTTTGATCTCTTTAGTTTTTTGTTTGTTTTCTTGCATTTTTAAGAATTCTCATCTAACCTGAAAGTAAAAGTTTTCCAGGAAGAGATGAGACATGTGACTTCACCCTACCTATACAAAAATATGTACACAATTCACTTGTTATACATGTATTGTTGGTGACCTCTCCATGAATTGTGTGTTTACGTATTTGGGGAATCGATGAAAATTGGAAAACTGCCAACATGGGGCATAAAGCTTTTTGTCTAGTTGCAAGCTAATACCACATTCCATAGTCGAAGTCAGGTGGATTTTTCCTTGTTATCAAAGGTTCAAATTTTCATCATGGTTCGTGCATCCCAGGGCAACTGCAAGGAAAATGTGATTTTATCAGCAAGGTTTTATTATGTGCACATAAATCCGCCTTCATCTTTCCTCTTGCGTCTGGTGAATTAGCCTCCAGATGCCAAGGCTTTCAAGATTTATACTGGTTTTGCCTTTTCCAAAGCTATTGAAAGAATTCATTTATGCTGTTTAAAAGTTTTGAAGCATTTGAGAACAGGAAAAAATTCCCCTATCAGTTGATGGGTAGGTGCGTGTGATGACAGGTTTTTAATTCAATCCATCATTTTCTTTGACGGCAACCAAAGGATTCACCCTAGCGCCCGATGATTTGGAAGATCCCAGTGTCTGGGATGGGATGCGTGTGGGGCAAGTGACCGGCAACGAGATCGGACCCTTCTCCTCAGTTAAGCTGGAGATCATCTTCAATCCCACGATTCCTGGCGCTGTGGACGTAGACTTTGAAATACGTTTTACGGACCCGCTTTCAGAAACAGTGAGTTTGGGTAGAAACAAAGAGAGACGTTTACTGTTCATTTCATAGAAAGATTGGTTGAGCCTTATGGTAAACTTATTACCGAAAAGTTGGAAAGTGTTTGAATACATGTTTGAATACTTCACTGTATGCCTGTCCAAGCACCATTAATACCCAAAGTCAGAAACCGAGCCTTAATAATAAAGGCTTTACATACATGTACATTTTGCCTCGCCAGATTCTACTCATCTGCCCCATTATTTTCTAGTTTACTTGTTGGAATGCTAGACAAGGAAACAGCTTGCGAATGTTACAATTTTTAGATTTCCATTCATTTTGGAAAAAAAAAAAACTTTCAGAGAATCTGATGTTACAATGCACAAAACATCATATAGGTTTTGTGCATTTGTGGCTAGGTCCTACAAAAGAGTTTAAAGGTTTCTTGTTTCAGTAATATTGTCAATTTATCCAATTTGTTTGGTGCAATTCTCACGGTTCGATGATTCAAACTGGCCACCCGACCCCGGCCAGCTCGTTTGCCAAGCGGTCAGACATCTGCAATTGTAAAGCAGGAGGTAGTGGCTTTGAATACTAACCAAGCAAACTTGCATAGTTCACCACAAGCCTGTCAGACAACCAGTATGCAGTGTTTTGGTATGGGGCAGTGTGGACATCCGGGACTCCTGCAAAATGGCAGGTACCACGCTGATGGTGACCATGGTGATATACATGTACATGTACAAGTGCACCAGCCAGTCCGAGGATCAGGTTACCTAGTCTCCTCTTTGGTCAGTACGTACGTGCACACTCGTTGCAGTTGTTTTCAGCAGTGCGGTGTAATGGCTACCCGCCATTTTGTGCAGCTCCTGGCTGTCAGCATTGCCCATACGTCAGTGCAGGGCAAAAAGTCACAGTATATAAAGAAAAATTGTGGTCAAGAATGTTGAGGGTTTCTGTTGATCTAAATTGTGGTAGATTTTTTAACCCCTTCACTTCGGGATTATTTTGA